CCCCCCCCCCGTGATTATGAGTTCTTTTATATTCTCATGTATTCTATCCGTTGCATTTTGATTCATATATTCTCCAGCCTGTTCTTCCTCATCATCTAGACCAAATTAAACTAATCATTCTTCTTAGTTGTGCTTTGCCTGGTTAATCTGCTACTTCAGTTTGCCCCTTCTCTTCTTTGTATGCACTCTTCTTAGTTGTGCTTTCCTATTGCCACTCCCATGTGTTTATATTTTGTCTCAAATACCCTTTAGCAGAAAGCTAGTCCCAATTGCAACACATCTAAGGGTACTTTGGACAAATGATAGTAGTACATGGTTCATCTAACATTTTCCAAGGCATTGTTCATAAATTAAAATTAGGTCTCTAGTTTGCATTTCACCCATCTTTTTCCTAGAAATCGTGGGACGCAGGCAGTAATAATTTCTCTTTGGCAGATAAAACGTGACTCATTAAATATCTTTTATTTCTTCCGCCTCGCTGGAAAATTCTACTTTTACTGCAAATTACACTCCAGAATGGAACTTTTCGCGGGACGGAGGAAGTATTGAGATAATTAATGTAGTTCGTTAATTAAATTATTGTTATTAAACATTAGATTTGTAGAAAAAAGAATTTTTTTTGGCGATAAGAATACGAACACTTTTGACAATGTAGTCTACTTGCAGGACTAAAATTGCAATATTGGTTCTTTTTTTCTTTTATGTGGACCGATTTGTTGTAAATTTTATTCTGGTCTAGTTACTTTTTCTATTAAAAAAATAGAACTAATCACTATTGTGTCCCATAAAGAGAGTCCTCTATCAAATTTGAAGATCTGTTTTTGGATATTCTCAACTACAGGATAAGAGACTATAAATGTATTAAACTTAGTACTCCGTAATTAACAAATAAACAATATATTAGTTGATCTAGAACTATTTTTTTTAATGATATAAATATATTAATTTTAAACTCAATGTCAACATCCATCTATCATATCAAAAACATGTACCAAAAACATGTACAACTATATAACTCTGGTGTGGATTGTGGTATTGAATGAAGTGGGGAAGCTTTGAGGGGTATGGCAAATTTTTGATTTTGCAGCAGATGGAGTAGCAACAGTTGTCCATGTTTCCATGTGCTCTCTACTGCACTCTCTCTTATGTTCTCTCTTCCCTTCCCTTCACCCTTATAAAAAAAAGTCTTAAGTTTGGGACGTAACTTAGCTGGTCAAAAACAGTCTTAAAGGGGTAAAATGGATAATTGTTTGGGTTTGACTTCTGTCGACAGCGATGAAGGACGACCACGTGTAGCATGAGATCCTTGCACTTGTCAAGGACGGGTCGCACCCGTTTTTTATTAGCCTAATTAATTCAAAGAAATCTACTTGAATATGATTAACATATTAAACATGTACCGAGATTGGACTTTTTTACTTTCTAAATAAGATCGTAGGCACTATGCAATGTTACAACTTGGTATTGTGTGTTGACATTTCATAGAGTTTTTGACATTATGGGAACTTATTTCGATAGAAATTGTTTTCAATTTTATTTAGATATTGGTGTTTCCATTTCTACCCATATAATTTAGTTCGTATTACTTTTCCCCCCTCTCTAAACAGTTTTCCAACTACGGAGTACTATATTTTGATCACTATATTTTACTCTCTCCATTCCAAAATGATTTGCACCGTTATTATTAGGAAAAATTACCCAAAATAATCCCAACTTTACTCGGTTTTTCAAAAATAATCTCACCTTTCACTGTGATGCATAATAATCCTAACTTTACTGAAATTTTCCAGTTTTGGGTCGCCGTTAAGTTTCTAACGGAGGGATAACGGAAATGCCCGTTTTAGGCAACAAAATGAAAGTTGGGATTATTTTTGATGAATTTTTGTTTTTTAATTTTTATTGAAATTTTTTGAATTACTTTCAACCTCCATTTCTTTTTCTTTTTTAAAGATTATTCTTACCTTAGAAAAAAATAGATATAAAAAATAATGAAAAT